TTATTATCGTTCATCGTGAATTTTACATATTGATTTCAATGAGAACCGTGTCAATAAAATAGGACAGTCATTGCCATTATTGTTTTGAAACAGGACATTTCCTTGTGTGTATTTTAAGTTGGATATAAATAATTGAGTGAGGTAGAGCTCATAAAATCGACATCGAAGTTGATTAAACCAGAAAATGGTTTACAGGCATTCCATAAACGATACATCCTATACGAACCAATATTATTGTCCTTTTGCAGGTATGTCAGCAGATCTCATGTCCGTGACTCTTCCAAGCACGTTATCCTTGGAACCCAGCAATACAAGCCTAATGAATTCGCCACACAGATCAACCTGAATATGGACAATGCTTGGGGAATCCTCAGATGTATCATTGACATCTGCATGAAACAGAAGGACGGCAAATATTTGATCATGAAGGATCCGAATAAGGTATTGGCTTCTTGGCTTCTTGGCATGATATTTTACACCTTTTACCTATTTTAATACTTTTAAAGTATTTTTTTGAAATTTGCTACATGCTAGATGCAAATTTTTAATGATGCCCTAGCCAAGTGATATGTTCTGGTTCTTTTGGAAAATTTTGTTGTTTAGGAATACATTTAGAGAAGAAGGATTAGCAAAACTAATTTGATATTTCAACAAGGGTCGGTTTTGTCCAGTAACTCCCATTTTCAAAGCCATCTAGGTAGGGTTAAAATTTCAAGTTAATTGTGATCTGAACTGTTTGTGTTCATAACTGCCTGGAACTCTTTCCTTTGGTAAGTTCTTTCTTCCTTAATGTATTCATTTAGAAAAAGGGAAGTTTGTTATTTGACGGCAACAATGCTTCGTCAGAAATATTAGTTGTTTGTTTAACAAACAAGTGTCAAAATAAGTAACACATTATGTACATTATGTAAGTCTTTGTGTTACAAACTGCCTGTTACTCTTGCTTACTTTCCAAAGGAATAGCACAGCTTAAAGTTTTACCTTAAATAAACAACCAAGATTGCTGTACATTTTAAAGTGTTGTAGTAATTAGGGGCTATAATTTTTAAGTTGGTTAATGTTTTATTTGTTTTAGCCAATGATCCGTCTGTATGACATTCCTGATAATACGTTTGAGTCGGAGAATGAAGACGCCGATGAAGAGGATGGCGGACTTTGAATGGTTTACATTGGTCAACTTAATTACTATCCGCTTTCCTGCATTTGTTAATCTGGTGTTTCATTAAAAATAAATAAGGAATACAGTAAGATTTGTGTTGATTACTTAGGTACCTAACCTCACAAAGTTCCTTCTTGATTGTGTGATTTATGTAATTTCTTAACCATACCCCCATTGTACGAAAACTATTTACTTTCATGTTTGACTAGTGTTTAATCGAAAAAAAAGATCTAAATAATTGCTGTTTGAGTTAACTGATTTGATTTCCAGTTCAAATTATATGTCTACAAATGCTGACTAGTTGATTGACTCAATTTTATAATCATGCAAGCATAGTCAAACAACTTGTATAGAAATAATGTGATGGTTTTCAAACTCATGCAACTCTGGGATACTTCAAGACAACTTATCTTTTATGTACTTCACCAATGCCTTTCTGTAGGATGTTGATTCAGTGATCCCAGAACCTACATTCACACATTGTTGAATCTAACTATAGCCTCGGCCTTCTATAATTCATCTTACCCGAAGCCAAGGCAACACTAAAGCCCATCAGATCCACAATCACAATATCAGCAGTGCCGGATTTATCACCAACCAAATCGCTGCATACAGCAACCCGTAGTAATTTGTACAAAAACAATGTTTTTAGAAACAAAGTTGATTTTTTTCCTAAATATATAAAAAAACTGCACGATCACGGTTGACGATTATGATGTCCCTGTGATCACGGGGATGTTTGTTAACGCAGGACCGTTTTTGACCCAAGCGCCCTAGGCACAACTAATAGTAGCCCCCTATTGCAATATATATTACATGGTGTCCACCAAGCGGGAAATTCAGGAATTATGCTTGAGATTTCTTAACCGGGAATTAAGCGTGAATTTTGTGTTTCTACCTGGATATTTTACTTTACCGCGATCGCGCATGACAACAGTAGCGTTTCTCTCACCGCGGGAGATATGTCAACACGGGCGCGAGGAAAATCAGAATTTTGCCGTTATCGCAGAAGGCGATAATGTCCACACGACAACATGAAACTGTCAGAATTTTGCCGCGATCGCGGAAGACGATGATCTCCACACGACTGCGGGATATGATTAACATTTTGCCGCAATCACGGGGGACGATGATAATGTCCACACGACCGCGGGAAAAGATAAGAATTTTGCCTCATTCACGGAAGACAATGATGATCTCCACATGACCACGGGAGATAGTTACCATTTCACCGCAATCGCGGGATACGATTACTATGTTCACACAAGGTTCACACGACCTTGGAAGACGTGATGTCTTATTCACAGCTGCGAGGGATTATCATAATTTTACCACGATCGCGCAAGTCGATTATAATGTCCACAAGACCGCGGGAAAAGATAAGAGTTTTGCCTCATTTGCGGCAGACGACGATAATCCCCTCACGACCAACCACTCGAAATGTTCATATTACCGCGATCATAGAAGACAATAATTAATTATGTTTACACGACCGCGGGAAACAGTCAGATTTTTGCCGCGATCGCGAGTGACGATTACAATGTCAATACGGCCATGGGGTACGATAATGATGTATGCATGGCCGCGAGGGATTACCAGAAAGAAGAAAAAATGCAATTGCCTCGTGCCCTAGGCACGTCCCTACCATGCCTATTCGGTTTTAAATCATCCCTGTGTTAACGATCCCTGATGGTTAGTTCCATCGGGGGCTGGTTGAGTTATTTGGCCTAGGGCCACCAGTATCGCTACCAGTCCGACTCTAAAAACAGTCTCTCCAACGGTAATTAACAATAGGAAGTCTTGAGGTGGTACCAATAATGGCCAGCATATCCTGTTCTTAATTAGACAATGATAAACTAAGATCAAGCTTGCTGCCAAGTTTTCAGAGTCTTGTAAGGTTGCTGGTTGGTCACTGGCCAGCCGTATTTTGGTTCTATGGAGTATGTTTTATCTATGGTTCTATTCAGAGCCGTGTTCCTTAACGGCGACCGCTGGGCTGGGAGTCTCAGCCTGGGGCCTCACGGTGTCTTTTTTTGCTTTAAAATGCATTTTGGGCATAAAATAAGTTTGGGAGTCTTTTTCCGAGCTTCTATATGACATGTAGATTCAAAATACTTCATAACTAACACTAGATAAATGTGTTATTGGGTCCAAACTATCTTTTATTTAACCAATTATGTTATTATGTAATTGAAATTATATGTCATAACCATTCTTCGAAACAATCCTTGAACTAAATCCTTGACTCTAATTTGACCCTAATCCTGGCTTAGTGCTCTAAATTAATTCATACTTTGCTTAAAATACCTACTTTGTATGGTCGCCATTTCAAAGAAAGATATTAAAAGTATTAAAGTATTAAGTATATTTGTCGCGCTTAGTTCCACAGCCACATCTTACTGTATTCGCTAGATGACTTAAAGGTATATAGGGCTACATGACAGTTTGTAAAACCTACTAAAACAAACAATAATGTTGTTGACGTCTGTTGTTTTCATGATGTTGTTTTAATTTTCTGGTCTGCGGTCTGCGTCTGCACTGCATTTTATTTTGTTTGCAGTGTTGCCAAAAAGCGGGTAATTACCCGAAAAGCGGGTAATTTAGTTACCTGGGGGTAATGCTGCGGGTAATGGCAAATAGGCGGGTAAAAAGCGGGTAAATGACAACTGATCAAATATTATTTGTTTTTCGTATTATTACTTTTATATTTCACTATAAGAAAAATATTTCCCTGTTTTTTTTTTTCATTAAAGTAATTTCATATACTTTTTATTGTTTTACACTACTTCTCTTAACTTTCATCAGTTTGGTTCAGTTCTCACTCAGTCACTAGTAGGCTACAGCGTTCAGTCGGTTCGGTTCGGTTCAGTTTCAGTAAGTACGGTTGTTTGCACTGAGCTAAAATTATAACTGAACTGGAGGTAGCATTGCCATGGCAGAAGTCTGTCAAAAGCGTGTCGCTGATTTTGTTAGGTTGGTATAGCAGTAAGTTTTCTTATCATAGCAATGACATGGCTTCTTATAACTAGGTTGGTATAGCAGTGAGTATTTTTGTCATACTTGAATACTTTTAATACTTTAATAATTTTCTTTGAAATGGCGACCATACAAAGTAGGTATTTTAAGCCAAGTATAATAATAGTTATAGCAATAATATGGCTTCTTATGACACCAGACTCACGCAAACATGGCGGCTGGCGACACGCATCTTTGACATTCAGTGCTACCTCCAGTTAGAATTATAGCTCAGTGGTTGTTTGTCGTATTTTCTTTTGGATTGGAGTGGAAAAACTTTTGGTTGCCTGGCCTTAATTTAATGCCTGATACCATGGTGGAACTAGTCTCTAGTCTACTTCTAATGAGGATGAAAAACATAAAACAGGGGAATAATAATATTGATTGGTTATAATAACTATATTTTCTCCCTAAAACTAATAAAAAATTAAATTTTTAACAGTACTTACTCATTACTAAATAATTATATCACATAGGCTATCATAAAAAAACCAAATCATTGGGTAGGCCTAAGTAAATTAATGTAATAATTTTTTTAAGGTCAGTAAGATTGAAAATTTCATTATGAAGGTTAATTACAAGTCTCAAGTCCTATATATTTAGTTCTTTACATCTTAATTTGTGGGATTACTCAAAACTAATTTATCAGGGTTTGTATTCGTTACTTTTAGAGACAGGCAAGAGTGTTAAAAGGGAATTTTTGGTTTGTTGAGGGTAATTTTGAGAAAAAGCGGGTAATTCTTTGCTCTGGAGGGGGTAACTGGGCCATATTGGATTGGCAACACTGTTTGTTTGTTTGTTTATGTGTTTGCGTTTGCGATTACGACGTGACGACTCCTATCAGCTCTCATACAGTTAGTTGTTTGTTACGGTAATCTTATGAACAACACAATATTTTTGATATTATTAAGTTAAATTGTTAAAATTACTCAACTTGCATTAATTTTTTATAGGTTTTTAAAGTCTATGGTTCGACTCGACTGATGAGTACTAACTTAGGCTACTTTGGAGTCGGCTTAGACGTCCGTAAGATGGAGCATTTTTTTCGGTTCATGTTGATCTCCGTGATTTTTATTTATTTTCATGGTGGAAATAAATAGAAGTGCTCTGTCAAAGAAGCCAGAGAGTAGATTTTTCTTTTTCTTTAATTTATTAAACAAAATCATAGTAGTGTAAGGCATACTCAGAAGGGCTGTGTTTTGATTTTGGTTTCAATGTTTTTGTAGAGTAGGCCCACTGTTAAATTTGGGTGGTACTTCTACTAAGCCTTCCACATCTTAGGTTAAAACTTGATAATGGGTTCGATGCTTATTTATATAGCCAAAGGACTATTTTAACCAACTCTAACTTAACTGTGTCTCATTTTATAACCAATTAAAGTTTTACAGGTCCAGTAGGTTACATTTTTCAAGATGGGTGACAGTGATGAAGATGAAGGCTCAGGAAGTAATTTTCAATTGACGGGTATACTCTTTGGCAATATTGATGAGACTGGGCAGCTAGAAGATGACATTCTTGACAGTGTATCAAAAAGACATTTAGCATCTTTAGCCAGGCTGGGGTTAAGCTCAATAATAAATGAACTCATCGACGATGCAGAACTTGGTGACAAATCAAGCCAAAGCAGCGAAAATACTGATTTCATCAAAAGTTCCGAGGATCAAAGTGCTAGCAGTGATCAGTTTTCTCAAGACTATGATGTTAAGTCGCCTTCAGCAATCGACTATTCAGACATAAACGAATTGGCAGAAGATTACATTATCAGTGATAGTGGTCTAAATCAAGTGAAAAAAGAAGAAGACAACACTGACTATGATGCTGACGATGAAGGTCCTATGAAAGACTTACAGCTTATGCCTCCTCCCCCAATGCCAGATGCAAATAAAGAGGGTTCTGAAGATTTATCAGAGGATGGGCAGTCTAAAAAGTTGGAAACTCCTTTGGCAGCAATGCTTCCATCCAAATATGCAAATGTTGATGTCCGAGAACTATTCCCTGACTTCCGTCATGATAAGGTATGATCACCGTAGTCTAGGTAAGTTAATATTATTATTAACGTAGGCTATCATTAAGTTTACTTTGACAAACATTGAGGAACATTAGGCCTAACTTAAACTTTAACCTACTAAGCTTTTAAATACCTATTGCACAACTGGAACCAGACATCCTTGATCTTTGAGCGTTAACTTAACTTATTAGGTAACATAGGTTGGTTAAAGAAACTAACCACATACATAGCTGGTCTTTGTTAATAGAGAGCCATAGGCCTACAAGGTACTTTTTTCATTTCACTCTTTAAGTCCTGCCCAAACTGCTGCAGTACGCGGTCTGCGGTATGGGTATTACACTGCCTCGGCAGTTGCACCGCTAGCTGTAGGCCTACGGTAGGGTGCCCACACTGGGCGCAGTTTGCTGTACGCAACACTTCTAACAATCGATCAGTAGGCATGCTGCTGACAACTGCTCCACACCGAGAATATGCATACCGCTGAAATACCACACAGCAAAAATAGGGCATGCAGCATCTTTGTGGTATGATAGGAAGGGTAAATTGTACCACACCGGTTGCGTTACACCTCGCCAGTGTGGAGGCTCCCATTAACTTAACGTTGTTCTAAAATAGGCCTACCTGGCGGTTTAAAACCTGTACCGCATACCGCGGCAGTTTGGACGGGCCTTTATCTTTTCATTCATATCAATAACTTACCATTAAGTTAGGCATAAGGTATTGGTCTTTGACTTTATACATGTTTAACCAACCGAATCTTTACTAATACAGTAGGCCTATTTATATTTATATAAGCCATTAGGCTTCTATCAATTTGTAAATAAACATATAGCCTACCGTTTAATTATCTTGCCCTAGGTATAAGTTAATAATGTAGAAATAAAACACCTTTAAAGCCTAAGCCTATTGCATAGGTATTTTAGAAACTATTTAACACACTCAAATTAATTTAGGTATTGAGGTTTTCTCGGCTTTTCGGCCCAGGCAAGCCGAGTAGTATGCCCCAAATTTGGAGAAGTGTCAGGAAGAGGAGGAAAAAGAGAAAACAACACAACAACCAACAACAGCAGTCAGACTCTGGTTCGGACCAGGAAGTCACTCGACAGAAGAAAGTGGGATGGGTCTTACAATACGGTTCACCCCCACCTCCGGAGAAATGTAAATCTGACGATGAGGTGAGTATTATTATTGACTAATGGATACTGAAGTAGACGTTCCATCTATATGGACCAGCTGTAGCCAATTTTTTTGTTTAAAAAAGAGCGTAGTTGTGTGAGCCAGTCACAGAATGCGCTAGTGACTAAAACTCTATTTTCTACCTTATTTTTGTTGCTTGCCTAGTTGATTGGTCATAACAGTTGCTATAGCTCACAATAAGTAATTTCATTAGTTTGAGTTGGTAAAAAAGATTGTGTATTCAACAGAAATCTGTAATTTAGATCAGCACAATCTGTCGGTGGCTTCAACTACGACAATTTTGGTAAAAAACCTGGCTACTAATTTAGCATGGGGATGGAATGTCTAGGTATTATGTACTGATAAGTTAACTTACCCAATTTCGTTAAAACTAACAGTTAAAACTAAACCTCTGGTGTTTTTTTGCAGCTGTTTTTTTTTTTAATGTAGGCTACATATAGGTTCAAAATGATACGGTATTTAGAAATTACGAAAATAAACATGATGGATCAAATAATAGGCAGATTGGACCGTTAAAACCTCTCGTTAATAATAATACCACTAGGCCTAGGTGTTTTCAGTACTATTGTAGGCAATAAAAGATGTCTTTATTACTATTTAACCATCGAGTCACTTGTTTAATTTGATATTTTGTTAGCGTTGTAGTTGAAACACATTTTAACGGATTAATTTTGTGTTATTTTGTATGTTACCCGAACAATTATTATTGGGATGATCAAATTTTTAATTAAGTCTAAAGTAGCCTAACTTACTTAATGCATGTAGAAAAATATTAATGTAGGCCCTAGTGACTATCAATATTTAAAGATTACTTAGTTTTAATTTATGTTTGGTTTTCAGGAGAAGTTGTTACGCCCTCAAGAAAGTAAAGTGTTGAACAAAAGTGTGGATAACGGAGACACCTCAGATATGGGTCCTAAGGTATGTGAATACCCGTAATGCCGCTGCCCTGACAAAGCTGTAGTCTAAGTTTATTTTTTATTTTATTCTTTCTTAGTGTTCTAAACTACATTTTAAGTAAGTTTACTAAGAATACAACTTAACACATGTAACAGTAAGACATCTTTGTCTCTGATCGACTAACTGGTCATGGAAAGGTTTTAAAACTAAGAAATATTTTTTTTGTCTGGGAAAATTTGATTGCAAATACAAACTGGTACTGATGGTATGCAGGAAAATGACGAGATAGATTACAGAGAACCTGTTGAGGGTTCAGTTTTTTTCTCTTGTTCCCAACAGAATCGGCTATCTCCTTCTGCAAATTCATTTTCCTAAGTTTTCCTCTTAGTGGAGTAATCAGTTGTGAGTCTCGTCAACAATCCTAATAGTATTTAAATAATAATAATAATAACAATAATATAATAGAATAATAATCATGTTGAAGAGCTAAAGCAAAGCTTCACTTCTATTCTTGTTATAGTTTCAAAGTATTTCTTTGGTTAGCCATCTTATGTCTTTGTTAGATTGGTCAGTGGTATTATGATCAATATTGTCCGTATCAGTGAATTTCTAGAGCGATTCTATTACTTATGAGCTAAGTTTGTCTAGTTTTTCATGTTATGTGGTTGTCATGGTCCAAAAAATATACACTTCACAAAATAAAACAAAAATACTTCAAGGCTAACCCAAGCATTTAAAACAAACTTCCCTTAACTCATTATACACAAATTTTAAGTTTAAACTGCTGTGGAAAAGTGTGGCTTGCTTAAATTGTATTGTCTCTTCAGGTCGCAGACTGGAGGTTTGGTCCTGCCCAAGTGTGGTATGACATGCTGGACGTCCCGGAAACTGGGGAAGGCTTCAACTACGGTTTCAAAATAAAAGAGAAGGTAAGATTATGCAGTCTAAAAAACCCAGGTTCTATGTTAAACTGCAATAAGCTCCTGGAGCCCCATCTTTTTTTTCAACACATTAAACTTTATACCCGTTTTAAAGTATTTTTAAATGAAATTTATTATTTGTATTTGTTGGTACGGGATAAACCCATAATTTACCTTTTTTGTACTATGCTATTTTAATACATTCGTTAAATGTTAAGTATTATTGCTATAGAAGTATATCTTTTTATTTTATTCAACCATTCGTGTAAATTGCTAACCTCTTTCTATTTTACGTAGACTGAAGAAGAAGAACAAGAGTCCCAGGAAGGATTTCCGGAGGATGCGTTCCTGATGGTGTCCCAGTTGCATTGGGAAGACGATGTTGTGTGGAACGGAGACGACATCAAACACAAGGTTAGACTCACACAGCGAGACATTATACTGTTGCATGTTGACCTTAGGTAACGTGAGGTGATCTTTATCCCACAAAGTATGATGGTTGTTGCTGTATTTTCCGTTCTTGCGGCGGGCCTCATGTCTGGCGGCTGACCAATCGGTCACTCGGCAGAGACCCTTTTTTGCCAACTAATTTAGAGAAGACAATGTCAAGCTTTTTAATTACTTCTTTCGTATGTCTCAAAAACCTCATTTGAATAAGGTGTACCTCAAACCTCAGCATGAATTAGGCTAACGCACTTGAGAATTTCATTATAGACAAAATATAATTTAATCTATATACAGTAGAACCTCTAATATCCGGACTCGGAATTTTCAGTCCTCCATTTATACGGTCACTTCCCGGAATGTATTACAAAAATATTTCCCACGACTGTTGGCTACAAGTAGTCTCCATGATTTGAGCTATCTCACGGTTTATCTATTTCCTGTTCATATACATTTTTTAGCGGGTTTACTACTCAGTTTAGCTACTAGATTCCAAAAAGAGACGTAAACACTACTTTAAACCTATCATAAGTTGTTATTAGTGATAAAAACTATTGTTCTAAAAGTAGATAGGTTCGGCCAAAATGTTATCCGGCCAGAGGCTCGGTCCCACATAGGCTGGATATGAGGGGTTTTACTGTTGTTGAAAAAAGGAACTGGGCCTATTTGCAAAAATATACCAGTAAAAAAATTAGCCTATTCCATTAAAATATTTGAATGGCTGAACTGACTCGTTTTGTTGTGACAGGTGATGCAGAAGCTGAACAGCAAGACCAACGCAGCAGGTTGGTTGCCTAGCAGTGGCAACCGTACAGCGCAGGCATTCAGCCAACCAGGCAAGGGAGTTCCACAGTTGCCAGGCAATGTCAGGCTAGCCACCTCCAGCATAAGCACTCCGGGCAGCAAGCAAAACAAGTCACTCATGTGAGTTGGTCAACCTTCCCCTGCTTATTAGTGCTTAGTATCATATTGGTTTGATTGTCACATTTTTGCGTAAAAAATAAACCGCGTACATTGACCTACACTGATAAGTGCGTACCACAAAAATGTCTTATTCGGTAGTTTTCATTGGGTTTTCAATATTTGGGCGCCATTAAGTTTGTTTTAAAATTTCCACGATATCATTGATTTAAAAAAAATAAGATTTACAGTTTAAAAGTTATTCTTGTGCAAACAGAAGCGATTTTTAATTTTTACATTAGAAAATTTTGTTATTTTCTTCTTAAGTTATTGACACTAGTATTAAGATCAATGAACAATTTTTATGTTATAAGTATTACGCAGTTATTGGGAAAATAAGCAATGTTTAAAAAAATAATATGGCAGATGTAAGTAAGAGTGAACATTGACGTAGCCTAGATATTCAAATTTATCATGAACTCAGAAATTGTGGTGTTGAATGTTGTTAAGACCAGAATACTGTTTAGTTATTAGTTATGTAGGCTTAGGTTAAACTAAAAACCAAATGTTTATCATGATGTAAACTATAAGATAAAGGGAAATAATTGTTCAGATTAGGAGATTTGATAAGAGTAAAAATAGATTTTGCAATTTGATTTTTTTCCTGGCATAGTGAGATAAAATCTTCAATTTCATCTACAAAATCTACAATTTTATCTCTATTACGTAAACTTTAAGATTTTATATCCAAATAAACGAGTAAACAAAATTGACATCTATTGACATTCAAATTATATTTCTGTCTCATCAACCAGGAACCTCCATAACTGGGAGAGAAAATGAAAATTGACAGTAACTTATTACTGTCTGTTAGGAAACTAGGCCTATGTGAACTTTGAACCCAGACTCATACAAAACAAGCTACAACTTGTCTACATGGGTAGAAAGTATATTTAGTGTGTAAAAATCATGTTGTAGTGGGAACTGTGCATCGGCAATTTGATTTCAATGTTTAAATACTGTAATATAGGCTACCTTAAAAAAAGAAAATACTAGTTCTTTGATGGTTATTGTTGGTGATGGTGGGTTGAAGTTATTTAAAATGGGAACATTTACTATAATAGTTGGTAACCAAATATGAAAAAGTTTGTGTTAGAATTGTGATAAAAAATAAACACTTAAGTATCAAAACGGATATGTTTGATAAAAAAAATATAATATACAAATTAGGGTGTAAATTTATAAAAGAGAAGTTTGGAAAACTGTGATTTGGTTAAACCTGTTATTACAATTTCATCTTGACTTTCCTTGAAGACTTAAGATTTTTGTAGTTTGATTTTTGATTGCCCTATAACAATTAAAGCTATAAGGTACTAAACAAAATTGAAAAACATTAAAATACTCGACTAAATTATCCCAACAGTCATGGTAAAATCCAGAATTTTCAATCAAGATTTAAGGGGTTCAAAACTTTGTTGACAAATTATTAAACTCCTATTTTGAAAATACTGATTTAAAAAAATAGTGGTGTTTCAGAACCAGAAAAAGAACAAGAAAAGCAGTTATATACCCTTCAAAATTCCCTTAAAGTAAAAATAGTTAATCTAAAAATTTTACAACATTTTTTAAAGTTTTAATGGGTAAATTTAAGAAATTATGTTAACAGTTATAAGTTCCCCTTCATATTTTTCAGGATGGGAGGAAAGAACCAATCCCGTCCAGGAGACGACAACGGTGACGACACGTGGTATTCAATTTTCCCTGTGGAAAACGAGGAGCTCGTCTACGGAACTTGGGAGGACGAGATTATTTGGGACGCAGAAAACATGAGCAACATCCCCAAGCCGAAAATACTCACTTTGGATCCCAACGATGAGAATATTATTTTGGGAATTCCGAACGACATCGACCCGGCCAAGCAGAGGATTGAGTCTACGACTCCGGTAAAGGTTAAGATCCCTCATCCTCATGTGAAGAAGTCGAAGATATTGCTGGGAAAGGCTGGAGTAATCAATGTGTTGGAGGAAGATACGCCTCCGCCACCACCTAAATCCCCAGACAGGGATCCCTTCAATGTGTCAAACGATAGGTGAGTAATGGTTTATGGTAGAAAGTTAGACATTGATGTTATTAGTTGTCGTTCAAATCGTGACGGATTCATAGAAAGCCTTCACTGATTGGTGCTCCGAGTTGACCTAATTAATTTAAAGGTTAGATTAAGTTACATAAATTTTACAAGAAGAAATAAGACTATTATGCTTTGGATACAATGAAACATCTTTTAAAAAAAGCTTCTACAGTGTATTCTGAACTAAAAATTAGTAAACTGCTGAAGCACTGTGCAATAAAATTGCATTTTTACAAACTGCTGTCTAATGGGTGTTCCGATTAAGCAAGGTCAGTATTTATTAGTTCGTATTTATGTGTGTTTACTGTATATATTATTTTATCGGTTACCTAACCGTACTATCCTAAACATTGTTTGCCAAAAGATTTGTTTCTCTGGAAAGAAATACAAAATGTAAACCTTTGCGTTAAAAATAGCTTTTCTTAAGTTCTATTGCTTACCTACACTTCCATGTTGTGAATAATAATTTAAACCAACTTAAGTGTATAAAACACTTGAGGAAATTTAAATTTCATAACTTTTGTTTTTTGTTTAAATTTCATAAGATTTAGTTTTGGATTTTTTCAACTGTTGATTTGATCAAGTTAACTAATAATTATGTGGCAGCTACTACCAGCCACGTTCCTCCGAGACAGTTCTCCGTCTGAAGGTCGGCGGGGGCAACCTGATACAACACTCAACCCCCGTAGTGGAGCTGAGGGCCCCGTTTGTACAGACACACATGGGCCCCATGCGGTTGCGTAACTTCCACAGGCCCCCCATGAAGAGATACAGCCATGGGCCCCTAGCTCACCCCGGCCCCCACACTGTCATACCCCTCACTAAACACATCAAGAAGAAGGCCAAGGTATTGTAAAGAAGGTGTTAATAACAGTCCTTTTACCTTATACTCATTGTAGTTGTCTGTTTTAAGTTTTTTATGTGAATTACTTTAGTAGTTTTTCATTTATTTCAACATGATGATGTCAATAGATAAAATTGAAAAAATATTAAATAAGATAAGCTGCGAGAGTAGAGCTCGAGTTGAGTTTCAAGCTTTCAATATATCTTTATAATCAACTAAAACATTATCTATGTTTAAATTAGCCTAACCGCAGGAAAATAATTTTTAGCCACATTTTAAATACCGCGCCATCCATGACCCACTAAAGATTTTGCTAGAATTGTCTATAATTCAAGTTGTAATAAAAATCATCAGTTTTTTTAAAGAGACTAAAAGTCTTTCCTTTTAGCATGGATAAAACCCCTTAGCAGGTCATCCTTATGGAACAGCTGAAGCCAATTTTATTGTTGGTTCTGTCCGTTGCACTGTAGAGATCGTGTTATGTTTACAATTTGTTTCTTGTTATTTTAGTCATTTAAAACCTCGTTTAACTAAATAAAACGGTTGACAAATCATAAACAATAACTGGTCTAATAGTTATATAACCAAACAGTGAAGCACAAATCATGAAAATAACCCTAAAATAGGCCTAATAGAAAAAAATTTGTCTACACTAGTGATCAGTATCGACGTACATGAACTAGACACAAAAACAAACCTAAAAAATTTACAATGGGATGAGAAGTCTATTTGGGTTTCTTAGTCTGTGCTTTAGTTATCATGTAATGTGTTTGCTTCACAGCAAAGAGAACAGGAACGCATGGCCTCTGGAGGAGGAGACGTGTTCTTCATGAGAACACCAGAGGATCTCACAGGCAAAGACGGAGACTGCATCTTGGTGGAGTTTAGCGAGGAACACCCTCCACTCATCAATCAGGTTAGCTTTCAGTTTCTGTTTACTAATCCTTCCATTCATTGTCATTCAAAGAATTTTTTAAATACCTTTTTTAAATAAAGTTCATAAAAAAATTTGTTGTGTAACTGCTATTTAGGCTAACTATTTTATTCTGAAGAAAGTCTGAAGAAGGTGTTTTGCTTTTGTAAAATGGATGCATAAAATATATTGGCAAAAATGTTGCTAAAGAAATAGGTAAACCATGAAATAAATTAGTTAAAGATTTTGTAAAAAAAGTGCCTAATTCAGAAAATAAAAGTCTGTTCAAGAGGAGATTGACTTAAAGAGATGATGATGGAAAAGGAAAAGGCTATTTAGCACTCCTGGAGGACTGTAGCTGTTAAATCTACAATGATAATGTTTTAAGCCCATGTATTTACACATTATATACTCGGTTACTTGACAAGTTGAGGTTATGTTTAGGTGGGAATGTGCACAAAGATCAAGAACTACTACAAGCGCAAGGCAGGCAAAGACTCCGGTCCACCGGACTACAAGTACGGAGAAGTTGCGTACGCTCACACTTCCCCCTTCCTGGGAGTCTTGCCTCCAGGTATGGCTACATGTACAGTATGTGCCAAAAGTACTGCAATTGTTATACTTCATTCATTTTCAGTAGCTACTGTCTATTTTGGCACACACTGTAGCTTTGAAATAATAAAGAGTTTAGTTCCGTGGTTGAAAGTTTGTGTTGAGGTTGTTTTAGTCAGATTTATTATTTTCTACAGTTTTATAAGTTTCTTAGATAATTTTTGATCATTTTAAACTTTGTTTCGTTTACTTGATAAACGAAAATATTAAATAAAGTGAATTTCAAATCCTGTTCTGACGTGAATTTTATTTTTTGTGATTTCTGTAATTTTTCATTTTTAATACAATGTAAAGCGTGAGACTTTCAAATGAGTTGCATGCAAGTTTCTCGATGCTAGCCACTAAATGTGCAACAGAGATATTCTTTTCCTTCTTTCCCTTGGTTGTAGTCAAAATTTCACTAGCGGAAGCAATTTCTATGCAACTTATTTTAGTTTTCCTCATCTCTGACACTTGTTGTTTAATTTTTTAGTTTAATAATTTATCAAAAGTCTAATCCCTCTTTCTTTCCCAATTCAGGAAAATCCATCCAAGTAGTTGAGAACAACCTGTATCGAGCTCCGATCTACGAACACAAAATCCCCAACACGGATTTCCTAGTTATACGTACCAGGTAAGGATCTCTTATAAATAAAATAACTCCCCTGTAAGGTTTTTTAATTGCAACTTTGTACTATTGAGTAACACATAGACTTCTACTTTCAAGGACCTTAAAGGAACTTTTAACTGAGCTTTAATTGAACTTTCTTGAACTATGTTTTAAAAAATAACAATTCTTTTTAATTTTCTAGCTAAATGTTGTAGGCTTAGAACTTGTAAAAGTTGTAGGATACAAATTTTTATCTTTTCCCTGTAGACAATCATTAGTCTGGGTATAAAAAATCTTCATTAAAAAAGAAATATGCAAATTTAAAGAACAAATGTACTACTTTCCACTTATTAATACTTTTATCTATATTTCTTTCCAGTTTTGCACCTTCAATGACCTCAATAAGTTTTGAGATTTTTTTTGCATTTCATCAATAACATACTCAGATTGTATATTGCCAACAGTAAGTAGTCTTCTATATGACACATAATATGATTCCTTAAGCTTTTACGACCGATTTATGTCAAACTCTGGGATACCTGAATTTTTTTTTATGTGGACCGACCATCTGCCACATTTGTTCATATTTTATACAGTATGGTCAATGATGGTATCTAAATCCTACTTTAAGTTGTAATCTAACTTCATAAACAGATGTTGCTTATGAGCCTCTTTCAATGTAGACGATTACTTGTAGTTCATATCTACATGTCCTCCATGTTATGTTTCAGACAGCAGTATTGCATCAGAGAGCTGGATTCACTGTTTGCGGCAGGTCAACTCTGCCCACTGTATGAAGTGCCTGGTCCTAACTCTAAAAGAGCCAACAACTTTGTCAGAGACTTCTTGCAGGTTTGTCAATAAAGCTTTCACTAAAACTAAACCATAAAATTTTTTTTTGATATTTTATTTTATTTGTATTTACACAATAGTGAGAATGACTAATCCCTCCGTTCTTTGTTTGAAATTAATTTTTTGTTTTTGTGAGTAAATGTTATTTAAAAGATTATTGCTAAATTTTTTGATCACAATAAGTAAAAAATCTAGCTAAAAAATGGAACAACTGAACACGGCTGTAGGTAAATCTCACCCCCTTGTTTCGTGCGCCAGCGAGGCCGTGGTGTGAAGTTTTTGCATTGACTGTACTCTTTTGGCTGTGGCTCGCCTTTGAAAATAAATTAAACACCGCTTAAAGTTGTTGTGAGAAATAGCATAGCACGTTATAAAATTTGGTTTTCTTTTGAGTTTAAAGCTGAAAATCCAATGCAAACATTGGTATTCCTAACCCAACATAACCGTCAGACCTAGTAGTTAACCTCAGAAAACATGACTTGCACCCCATATCACATAAGCACAACGGTAGTGATTCATACTTTGGTTTCACAAAGCACGTCGAGATTAGGTCAGGTAAGAAAGAGTACAGTCATGGCAAACATTTCGCACCACGGCCTCACTGGCGCGCCAGCCAAGGGGCAGCAGTTTACCTCGTGTGAAAACAATCTATCCGACCTTTTTATAACCAGTTTAGGTTGGACAATCAAGACTTTACTGTACTTATGAAAAATATGTGGTAGATTTAAATACTTTTTATCATAACTGATGTAAATTTGTGCAGGTCTTCATCTACAGGCTTTTCTGGAAAAGTCGAGACACTCCAAGGAGAATCAAGATGGACGATATAAGAAAAGCGTTTCCCTCTCATTCTGAAAGCAGTATACGAAAGCGGTTGAAACTGTGTGCTGATTTCAAGAGAACAGGTATTATAGTTATTTTAATATTTGGATGTTTTGGATTGTCTCCTATCTTATTATCAGGACACTTTTTGGAGTGTTGTTGATAAAATAGCAATACATGATTGACTATTATTCTTACAAAGAGAATTAATATTACGATACTTTGGAGTCACCTCTGAATACATTTTTTGTTAAAACATTTAAGATGAACTAATGAACAAATGACTTCAAACTCCGCCGGGTTAGCATCGTCTGATTTCTTAACTGATCAGTTACCATAAATGTATCGTATTCGTGTTTGTGTCGTGTTTAAATGTTTATTTATTATTTATGTGTAAATTATATGACATTCTTTGTATGAAGAAAGAAAACCGTCCTTGTACAGCCTGATTATGGTGCCACACAGGCACCGAAACTAGTTGTGTTAACAACAACATTGGATTGCTTAATAGCAGGTATTTGAACCTTTTCTAATATTATTTGGCAATTTGGAGGCCAACACCTACAATACATTGAGGAGATGAAGTTATGTTCCGCAATCGCCGCATAGCTTTCTCGTGGTGATCAAAATCTATAGAGCTGATGATCAAATGTCCTTGCGTTTATTATATAATGTCAAAACAACTCAATGTGTCGATTTTTTTTCAGGAATGTAATCTGGCTTTTCCAAATTTTAATTAATTCAACCAAGGTTCGGTTTCGATTAGTTCAGAATATTGGGAACTTGCTGTAGTAGTTCTTTCATCAGATGGGAGATGTGACGAGACACAACATTCTAAAATCAAGGTTAATCAGGTGATAATGCAGACGTTGTTTCAAAGGAATGGACTCCAACTGGTGGGTGATCAAGCCAGATTTCCGGTTACCCACGGAGGAAGAGATCAGAGCCATGGTGTCTCCGGAGCAGTGCTGTGCCTACTTCAGCATGATAGCTGCGGAGCAGAGGCTCAAGGTATCAATACTATCAACCATAGACTTAGCATGAACTTGGAAATACATAGACTACCTTCATTGTGTCAGGCTGATCATTGGATAAAAGTAGCTTCCATAGACTGTTAATTGTTTGTTGTTTTGGTAAATAACTTATCTCAACAATACAAGTTTTGAGTATTTTACGTCCACCACTGAAATGTTGTGTACTTTAAACATGTAGAATTGTGACTCTAACCATCAATAACTTGGGAATGTTTTTAGTATGGCCATTACATTACACTGACATTGTTGAGCTACTTGCATTGCTATCGTATATGTTAAAATAATGATTCGTAATAAAAAAACTATTATCTCACAATTTACAAAGATTATTTAGAAAGATGGTTATTTTTCACTTGACAATTCTCCAATACAGCATACTGAGAGAGTTTTGCTTAACCAGATTACCATAAATATATCTCTTGTCTTGATTTGTTCATTATTGTCCTCAAGTAATTTTTCAAATTATTATGTTCCATCAAAACCAATAACGATTGACGAAAAAGTAACTACATTCCATTCAACATTAAAATAGATTCATCGTTAATGTTCACAGGATGCAGGATACGGAGAAAAATTCATTTTCACCCCACAAGAAGATGACGATGAAGATCTCCAATTGAAGATGGACGATGAAGTGAAAGTGGCTCCGTGGAATACAACTAGGTGAGATTTGGATCTAACTTTGGACTACAATTGGGAGTGGAAGACATCTCATCCCAATTTTACAGTTTTAGCCAATTTTCAAAAAAAAAATTGACGTACTCGAATTGAGTCGCTGTCGACTACTGATTTCTGGCATACACCTCGACTTTAAAACAAAGCAAAACTGGAAAAATAACTAACTATCACCTTTTATGACACATAAATAATCGAAGTACTGCAAACTAAGAGAGAAAATATAATTTTGACTTAGCATACTCAAATGAGTGACTGAGCCATCTTAGAGTGGCCTATAAGTGGCTCGTTCAATAAAAACTGGCAACAGCTGGTCCATATAGATGGAATTTCTAATTCAACATTCATAGTCAATGATGTGACTTATGTGTAAGAGTTTCATAAACCTCAATTGTAAAGACCGATTCACTAGCTTTGTGGATGCAAGTTTTGATTAATTCAAGATTGCTAAGTAAGCTGCCTAAGCTCATTTTGATAGGTATTTTCCCTGAATTACGCAGGAAAATTGTTGAAAACTGTAATGTTTATGGATGTACTCAGTATAGAGTTTGTGTAATTTGTGTTGTTGTGAAGGGCGTACATCCAGGCCATGAAGGGCAAATGTCTACTACAGCTGACTGGCCCAGCTGATCCAACTGGCTGCGGAGAAGGCTTCTCATACGTGCGGATGCCCAACAAACCCACGGTAAAAACATAGTCAATATTTCTGTTTATGTATCATTGAGAATGATAAATGGATTTAAGTACACATATGTATTTTACTTAAGAACTTAGTCAAATTAGGTGGTCAATCATTTCATCAAGTTTTCGGACTAGTTCCTTATGTCTACTACTTTCTGCTAATTAACTACCCTGGGAGGGGAGATGTTGAATTAATTGTTTTAATGATTTAACATTAATTTTTACTTGATAAATGCATTATATGGGAGGAATGTATATCCAATCATCTTAACCAAAAAGAGATTTCCTAGCAGTTGGTAGTTTTTCTTAACAGTTCACAACACAAGTCATTTGATAATTAGGAAGTTAAACAATTCTGTTCCATTCTGAAGAGCGCTCTTGTTGACATGAAAAATGTCATCTTAAAGGTGTTGTGAACTTTTTGTAAGCTTTCAACTACTAGAAAATATTTTTTGGAAAGTTAGTTGTTATCCAATCTTCCACTCCAATGTATTCTTGTATTGGTGCTCCATCCTCTAAAAACTACCTTTTACTTGATAGAACTTTGTCGTAAGTAAATAATTTAAATTACTGTGTCAAGTTGGATTTATGGTTAAATTACTTTATGTAAGTTTAAGAAAAAGATTCATCCTTTTTGGGAGGTTTTAGGGGGAAACCGACATAACTGACCTAAGAAACCGACACAAGTATATTCATTTATTGATTTTTGTTGTCTGGAGCCTCTGCAACTTGGAATGTTTGTTACAGCAAAGCAAAGAAGAGCAAGAGGCCCAGCCTAAGAGGACTGTGACAGGAACTGATGCTGATTTGAGAAGATTGTCACTAAACAACGCCAAAGCTCTTCTGCGCAAATTCGGCGTTCCAGAAGAAGAGGTGAATATTGTTATAGTTAGCAGATCGAAAATGACTTGAGTTACTATGTGCGTGGTTAAGTTTCCAAAAAAATCATTAGCATATCATCCTTATCATCATCCTTAGTTGAAATTCTAATGCCTTGCAAAGTACAGGATTTACAGTGTAAATGTAAAGTTTTGTTACAAAAATAATAATTTGGTTTTAATTTTCCATTTTGTAAAAAAATTGCGGTGACCTCAATTCTGTTTGCTTTTTCACTAGACATTTAAAATTATGTCAAGTTTCTCATTGTATAACAAGTTTTTAGGTCCAATCTTTGAATCTTAATCCACTGCTAAGATCTTATAGGATCAAAATGTAACGGACGGAGTGTATTAAAGGTGAAATCATAGCTCAGTGTCCCCAACACTATATTCTTAAATCCTTATAGTTTAAATTTGTCCATGTCTGATTACAATTGTGTTTATAGGTTAAACCACTTAAACTAGCTATATCTAAAACAGGGTATTTATTTAAAATATGAACAGGACGTTACTTTCTAAGCATCAAAACTATTGCCTAACTGGTTTTAGATGCAAAATATTGGTTGGATATCATTTACAGCATGCGGACAAGCATGTTTATGCTGTAGCGTGATCTATAATTCATGCAATTATATATTCACAACTACTGTCAACCCCTAATGGTGATTTCAGATCAAGAAGCTGTCCAGGTGGGAGGTGATTGACGTTGTCCGCACCTTGTCCACAGAGAAGGCCAAGGCTGGGGAGGAAGGCATGACTAAGTTCTCTCGAGGAAACCGGTTCTCAATTGCTGAACATCAGGAAAGGTGAGGTTTTGGAGGGAAAGTAAGAACCTTAAAGTTTATTGGTTAATTGAGGGGTCTAGGGGCTGGCTTTTATATTTGGGGTCGGATAAAAAATTTTGTTTGACCATTCTGGGTCAAAATCAAGCTACTTAGCAGTAGTATTGATAAAAAATATATAATTTAGACTAGCCTACAACCAGTTCCTAAAATAATTTATATGTGCATATTATGGTCGCGGTGAAGTTGTTAAAGTCTTCTTTGATTGTGACGAAACGGAAACATATTCTGTGGTCACGGGTAAATCGTGAACGTATAATGCAGTCGTGCTAAAATTGTGAATGGCTTCTGTGATTACGTCAAAATTGTTAAGATTTCTCTATGGTGCCATAATTTTTTAGCGATAAAATCATAACCTTGCAGGGGAATTTTGAAATTTTGGCTGTGCAATCTTTTCAGATGCTTTGCATTATAGAAAAAACCAGTTGCTCGCACACCTCTAATCTAAATAACCCAACCTGAGCTGGACCGAAAATTATTTCTGAAAAATTATTTACTCTTACCTGGCTTGGCCGAAAATTGTAGACCACTACATAAAAAATGCCTCTAGCATTTAGTGGTAATAAATTACTCTTATTTTCCATTTATACCCAAGAGTGTATTTAGCTTTGCCAACTATCTTCATTTTCTCCAATCCTTTGCCTTCTCTTCATTGACTCGAAATTCTCTTGTCTAAGTCAATAATCTTTCCACCTCCTTTGTGGTCACCTAGAGGGTCTTCGTTCACCTGGGTTATATTTAGATATTGGTTTTATTATAGCTTCATTCTCGAATCAGCTGTTCTTAATGACTGTCCGGCAGATATAAGGAGGAGTGTCAAAGGATATTTGATCTTCAGAACCGAGTGTTGTCCTCCTACGAGGTGTTGTCGACGGACGAGGGGGAGAGCTCGGATGAGGACAGCTCGGACATAGAGGAGATGGGGAAGAACATCGAGAATATGTTGGCCAATAAGAAAACCAGCACACAGGTGGGTTATTTTCATTCAACCTTATTTGCAATTATTTGAAACCGCAAATATTATTTAAGTTGCTGCTTGAAATCGCCTAGACATATATACATAGTTCACTCAGTTTTAAGTCAAGTGTAATATCAATGGTAGGAATCATCTTTGTTGACATCAAACATTTTTTTCTTTGCTCCAAAATTTCGTTTCAGCTTTATGACATTTTTTAACTGCAATATTATCTTTGATTGTGAGAAGTGCCTTACCACCATAGATTCCGCTCTAGGGGAGGTTGTTTTTATGTCCAAACATATTTATGTTATTTTTATTTAATTTATATTTTATATTTTGTTTATATTTAACCATGACAGGTGCACATTACCTTAGTTATTAAGCCGAAAAAATATTATAATGCTGAATATGAAACCATACAATGTACATACTTCTGACAGATTCTATGACATTTTCTTAACAGCTGTCTCTAGAAAAAGAGGAGCAAGAGAGACAAGAACTGCGAAAAATGATGATAATGGGCGACAACGAAAACGACCCTCGAAGAAAGAAAGATGTGAAGAAGGATGGCGATGATATGGACTCTATAGCCAACTACACTGGCCAACCAGGTAAATAATTAAAGTTTAATTCAAGCTTATTTCGTACTTTAAATTATTGTATTGATTATGCTATGCAACAATAAAGCTTTCTTTGTGTATTCTTAAAATAGGCCTATACCAACAAGTGTTGTAATTAAAAAAATAACTTGTAGGTGTTTGGCTCTTTATAGTTCTTTTACGCATTAATTTGGATATTGTTTGTGATTTCAGTGTTCTTTGTGTACCGGTAACCTAAAGTTTTGTTGTGCTCAGTTTTTCATGGTTTTTAACAAACACCTAGTTCAAATGATTTTTACTACAATTATTTAGTATGTTATAGTCTTTTAAATTCCAAACAAAATGGTAGAACCCCCAATGCTGTAAAACATTTGGTTCAAAAGTTATGGGAATTTTTGTTATTTTCTAAAAAAAAATTTAATAGTTACTCCCATCACTTACCCAATGTAAAAAGTATATGTCAGATTAATGCCAGATTAATCCTTAGACAAATCTATTTTAAACATTTTAAATTTTTATTTAATTTTTTTAGACTTCTTTACAAAATAATTATGGCAAAGCCTGGTTTTAGGTTACTATTAATAGTGGTTCGGATACCATTTTTAAATGCAATTTTGGTCAAATGCATTCTAGGTTTCAAAGATCTGTTACATCTTGACCATGCTGCAACTCTAAGAGTAGTCAAACCATCGACAAAATCAAATACCGGTGTAACTTCAGTAACACGTTAAACCTAATAAACTTTTAAACCCGAAAAATACTAAGTTTAACTTTTAATACCCTTTATAACCAATTGCTTTTTACAAACCAGGTAGGGTGCTGCGAATCTACAGGACATTCAGGGACGCAGAAGGTAAAGAGTACACTAGGATGGAAGTGGTGCGGAAAACAGCAGTGATCGATACCTACGTGAAGATACGATCTACCAAGGACGACAACTTCATCCGACAGTTCGCTACGTTGGACGACGCTCAGAAGGAGGAGATGAAGAGGGAGAAGCGAAGGATACAGGAGCAACTGCGGAGGATTAAGCGGAACCAGGAGAGGGAGAGGATCACTGCTGGCTACAACCGCAATCCTTCAAACTCGTGTAGGTGTTGTTGAGTTAATCCTCAAAATACTTGCTTTAAATTTAACCTAATCATAGCCTTGAGTTATGGGGTTATGGGGTGAATTTTGAGTCAAATATATATTTGACTCGTAAAAATGGGTGAAATCATATAAATGTCCCATGCACAAAACAAAAAGGTAAAGCCCAGAAGCTTGAACTTATTTCCAAAAATATTGACTTTTGAACCTTGCCTCCAGAAATAGTTAATTCTAACATTTCAATAAAATAAATCAAATGCTCCAAAAATAATTGGATACCAAATTGCACGTTACTTACTCAGAATTATGAGAGTGTAACCCCTGCCACTACGGTTTGGGCATTGTTAATGTATTTACAAACCAACTAATAAGATGCCTATTTAGCCTACACCACCTCTTCAGCAGCTTGTACAGAGTTTATTCCCGATTTTTTTCAGTCACTTAAAATTTAACCTTATTGGACTAGTAAAAAAAGTTCTTCAGTCAAAGAGGAAAAAGTATCACTTTTGATAAAATCAAAATCTAACATAAACAGAAAGTGCCAGTTTTATTTTGCGTGTTTACTAGAACATTGCTCTCAGTTTTCCATGAAAACCAGTTTAAACCTCAGAAAGAAGTAAATATTTTAGTTTTAAATGATGCACCATCTAAATCCCAATTTGCTGGATTGAAATTAATGCACAATAAACTCACACAAACTTATTTAAGGCAACTAGTATCACACTTCTATATTCAATTCAATTTGTTTATTAATGGCATGAACCAGTTGACAATTTAAAGACTTAAATTGGTTCAAGTATTTACCAATTGACAAGATAAAAGGTATACATTTAGCAGCAAGCAGGTAGACTATAAAAAAACAACTTTGATAATTGCAGTTACAACCTAGAAATACAAATCCAGAGTGGTAGGCCTATAATGAAAGGGGACAAATAAAGAGAAGAAATAAACCGCCTAAAGTAATCATATTGAAGCATAAATATTCACCCATGTTAGTAGAATAATTTTTGCAAAGAAAGGCAAATCATATTTTTTCTTATAATACTATTTGAATGTTCTATGAGCTTGCGTTTCTATGTACATTACAGTCTCCACTCTGGGACAAAACACATTGATGGGGGACAGCAATGAGTCATCGGGCCCCGCCACGTCTCCCAGCAAACCCATCTTTGGCGGGTCCAAACCTGCTGCAACACCCACGCCACCTCGGCGCCGCAAACCCAACAAGCTCAAACCTGATCTCAAGCTCAAGTGCGGGGCTTGCGGAAATGTGAGTACACATTGTGCATTTTTCTAATGCTTATGAGCTATTGGAATTAGTAATAGTTAAATATAGTGAATTGTGGAATAAAAAGGATAGCAGCTTACCTTGGAAGAAGTAGGTAAGCAATAGAACACACAGAAGAAACATAAAAACACAATATTTCGACCCCTGGGGGAACTTTGTCAAATGTAGAGAGAATTAAAAAAAACTTTATTCCAGAATTATTCAAAATCCTGGCCTATAACCTGTACTTGAACAAAAGTTAGCTTAGAGAGAAAATTTTCATTTCAAAAACTGATAAAGCGTTGTTATCATGGACAAATTTAATAATTACGTTTAATATGTATTCCAATGGAAGTTTACAAACAGATGCTTAATCTCCAATTTGTAAATCGTTACAAACCCAGTTACCCAAAAAGCTGAAGCCTTAAAATTTGTTGAACCTTTTTACATCTTGTTTAAGGAGAGATTTTTTTTGTAGCATAAAATTGTACTCTCAATTCAGATTGTGACACTATGTATAAGGCCAACCTTTCAAATTCATTCACTTTCGAAATGTTTGTGTTCTTTTGTGTTTTGTGCCCTTAAAAATCCCCGATTAATACCTAAAATTATGATATTTCTGAGTTTCATTCAAAGATGCTTCTCAAGAAAGTCACGCGAGCTGTACAAAAAAGTAATCCAACCTTCCCATCTGTCTAGAAATGTTAATAAAGCATTTAAATGTTATTTAAACTTAACTAGCTTTAACATCAGCCTAGCAAACACTGATATACCAATTAGTTATAGATCATTACTCTAAGCTATGACAACTACAATTTGGAGCAATGTACCAGTGGATTGACAAAAATATGTAACCTGTTTTATCATTGACATTGCATAAAAAATGAACTCACACCAATGTATTTACGTTTATCATGTTTTAAAAAGTGTTAACTTAGTCATAAAATAATATTTCCTTGTGCAGGTGGGCCACATGAGGACCAACAAGGCGTGTCCACTGTACCAAGGATCGGCACACAACCCTCCCCTCAATGTGGCCATGACTGAGGAGCAGGAGGAGGAGATCGAGAAACAACTCAACGCAGACGACGAGGATTTGGTCAACGTGGACGGCACCAAGGTCAAACTGTCCTCCAAACTGCTCAAGGTAGGAATGATTGTGGTGAACACTGGTTAATGCAATTACGTTTGGCATATTAGGTTGCGTGCTTTGTTTCTACTGGATATTCAAGGACGCTGAAGGCAAGGAATACACTCATTGTAGATAATTTTTGAAGGGAAAAAAGCAACTTGGCTTAAGAATTTGTAAGGATAAAGGAAGGATACACTACTAACTCACCTGAATGAGTCCATAAGGAGGGTAAAAGAACAATGAAAAGTAACCCAATTTTTAAAACTGATATTTCACCCCTTTCAGGGGCTTCTTCAGAGGTAGAAGGGTTTATTCTAGGCCTATCTCTGAAGAATTTAAAAATTGTGTTACTTTTCTGTGTTCTTTTACCCTCCTGGGACTCTTTATTTGAACTATTGTAGATGAGTAGTTTAATGCCATTGACTTAAGAATCATATTTACTTCTATCTCTTTGTTAACTAAGGGTTTACCAGAAACAGCCGTGAAAAGTTCTCTAAGGTTAGAAGAACAACTCTTGCTAATATTGTTAGAGGGAGTTACCTTCTTGAGGAGGAATTGATTGGCAGACTACAGGGATTCATCAGATGCTTGAATCTTTAAGGTCTATTAATAAAACAACTTATTGGGGTGTGCAGTAATTTGACTAACTCAGATGAAATGCTTTGTGGCTTCGATCTGCCCCTGCAAGATAAGAAAAGATACCAGAAACGGTTTCCTGGATTAAAAAAATTTAGTAATGGAAAGCTTAAACAGATACAATCTACCCGGTATTAAATTTCTATTTCATATGGATAAATTATAATAGTATTATTTACAAGGGGAGGAAGCTGGTCTAGTGGTAGAGCGCGGGGCTTTGGTGCCCGAGGTCCCAGGTTCTAATCCCTCCAATTAACAATGGATTTTATCAGTGTGATAATGCCGCAACCTACTAGGACCAGCCTGAAGTAATTGTAAAACAGTTATGGGCTAGAACTAGCGTCCTAGGATGTGAAGGTATGACATAAAAAATACACTACTACCAGTTACCTTTCATTTCAGCACGCTGAGGAGATCAAGCGACGCTCACTGCTACTGAAGGTTCCCAAGGACGCAGTCAACAGCCGCAAGCGTCGCAAGCCTCCTCACGAGCTGCACTGTGATTATCTCAAGCGGCAACAGCGGCCGGCCAACCGACGCCGCACCGATCCTGTGGTCGTGCTGTCCACCATACTGGAGTCTATATTGAACGAGATGAGAGACCTGCCTGACGTTCAACCTTTCCTATTCCCCGTCAACGCTAAGGTTGAGTTACAATTTTTATGTAATTCACTAATTATATTTGTGTTTATGTAACACAATTTATTTTCCCGTATGGGAATAGTTCAAACCTGGTCTGGTTTCTAATGTCGAACTTTTGTTGGATTGCATAATTAATTGTTAGCCCAATGAAGCTAAAATTATTCATAGAAAAATTAATCCCTGCGGCTTGAGCAGATAAAATACATTGAAGTTAATTAAAATTTATGTCAGTTAATGTATAATGGAAACATTCAGTAAAAGAACACTTTATTTTCAGGTAGTACCTGATTACTACAAGATCGTTCAGAGGCCGATGGACTTGCAAACTATACGAGAGAACTTGCGGCAGAAAAAGTACCAGAGTCGTGAGGAGTTTTTGGCAGATGTGAATCAGATAGTGGAAAACTCTACGCTTTACAATGGTAAGAAAAGCTGAGTAATTTATATAGGGTTTATTTCCTTACGCAAATCTTTGGTGGTGTTTACCGGGCATAATATGTTTTTCAACCCTATTCAGTTTTCTCTTCTCTTTTCTGTATACTGGAATAAAGGTAGAGTTTGTGTTGGGGGTTTGTCAAGCAGTCCACCGAAAAAGAGGATAAGCTGAAAAGGTTTTTTCACCACCCTGGAATAAGATCACCAAAAACCTTCCTGGCTCTGGCAACTTGCCAATAAGTTTTGACCTCAAAATAATTTATTTTAGGAAAAGGAACTGGTACCCAAGAGGCCATTGAGATAACTTACAATATGTTTACTGGGAACATAACACAAATGACTTTATCAAAACACTAAAAACAATGATAAACCTCCCAGCTCACCAGACCCTAGATTAGATCGAAGACCTCCGCAACTAAATTGTATAGCTTTCCTCCCAAAACTGAATCTGTCCCCTCTGAAGAGAATCCCTTCCACCCCTTGGGACATCCTAGCCCTCATGACCAACAAACACAAACACCATCAAGACCAAATACTCATCCAACGAACAACATCCACTCTCCAAAACTACCTTTCATAATGACTTTGCGGTGTATAACACTAAATGCCGTCAAAACCCATTTTTCTCAACAGTTGTTTCCATAGAACTTGAAGCCAAACTTGACTCCAAACTCTTCTTCTACTCGATTTTTGTCTTACCTTCTGTTGTGTGTAGGAGCCAAGAGTTCTCTGACTGTGGCTGCACGACGGATGTTGGGAGTGTGTGTTGAGCGACTGGCTGAGAAGGAGGAGAAGTTGATGAGGCTAGAGAAGGCCATCAACCCACTGTTGGATGATGATGACCAAGTCGCCCTCACCTTCATATTGGACAACGTAGTCAACAACAAGCTCAAGATCATGTCCGAGTCTTGGCCGTTTGTCAAGCCCGTCAACAAGAAGCTGGTCAAAGACTACTACAACATTGTCAAGTACCCGATGGACTTGGAGACGATATCGAAGAAGGTTAAATGTGAGTAATTGGGGATTTTGAATTTATTTGATAACCACTGAAGGTTTTTTCAACCAATGAAAAAATTAATTTCTTGGTTTTAAGTGAAAAAGTGAAAAGCGTTTTTTTGTAAATAATTTGAATTGAAATTAACATTCAAGGAATTAAGTATGCTTGAGGATTGTTGTCGGGGTAATCAGGCTTGCCCGAAGGGTCGAGTCAGGACCTTATTCAGGACCCTAAACAGTAAAATTTAAATATTTCAATGCCACTGAAGATGAGTAGCATACTCTTTTACCCATTCAGATATGTCTGAAATCCTACTGGCAATCCTTAAAATCTGGACCAATCTTCCATCATAACATAACCTCAAATTGATTGATTGATTGATTGAGACTATGTAAACAATCAATTGGGCCAGGGAAAGCAAGTATTGGTGATTTTTATTGATTTCAGTAAAGCTTTTGATACCCTAGAACACAAACAAATTGCAGTGGCTTTAGAAAAAGCAGGAATTAGAGGTCCATGTAAAGACTGGTTTATAAACTATTTAAAAAACAGAAAAATTAAAGTAAGATTAAACGATAAATTTAGTGAAGAAAAAGAATTAGAATACAGTGTACCACAAGGAAGTATATTAGGGCCTTTGATGTACCTAATTTATGTAAATGAGATGCCAGATGCTATACAATTCTGTAGAACCTTTATGTACGCAGATGATACAGCCCTAGCCATATCCGATAAAAATATAAACGTGGCAAAAACTAAGATTGAAGCAGATTTTTTGAAGCTGACAATGTGGTGCCATGACAATGGATTGATTATAAATGGCAGTAAATCAAAGATTATGCATATTCATTCACCTTCGTACCAATGCACAGAGCTAGCAGTAAAATTTCATTCACACGATTGTCTGCATCGGAAAAGCTATGAAAATATGTGTCAGTGTATGAATTTGGAGTATGTTTTAAGTTATAAATATCTGGGAATCATAATTGACCATAACATGAAATGGGACTTGCACTTGAAACAACTAACTGATAAATTAAGATTATGCTTATTTAAGTTTTACCATATAAGACAATACCTGCCACTAAAAACAATGAAATTGATTTACTCAAGTCTGTGTGAATCATTGCTTAGATATGGTGTAAGGTCATGGGGAGCAGCATCAAACACAGCCATAATGCAACTAAAAACCGTGCAAAGCAGGATAATCAAAACAATGACTAAGCTTGATTCTGCTGATCTGGTTGATAATATCCCATGCTAGGTTATCAATTGGTCAACGTTTTGCCAATTGATGGGCTGTTTAAGTTTTTAATTACAACAGATTATTATTTTTCAGATGAGTTCAAAAACCTTAATGTTCATAGTTACAACTCAAGGCAACTGTTCTTTATTGTGCCTAGAACAACAAATAAATATTTTAAAAGAACAAGGGAATATTTAGTTCCATTCTTGTTAAACAGTTTACCAGTACAGCTGAGGAATATATGTTACTGTAGAGTTTTAAAGAAGAAGTTAAAGAATTTATATCTAGATCTGAGTTAAAGATAACTGTGTTTCATATTTTATCATTGTTGTTCACTGTTCCAAATGTTTATTATTGTTACTTTTTTAATAGATTATTCACTGTTCACTGTTCCAAATGTTTATTATTGTTACTTTTTAACAGTTTTAAATCTGTTTATTACTGTTACTTTTTTCATTGTTTATTAATAATTGTTAAAATCTGACTACTTTAAATTCTATGATTGGTTTGGTATATTATTGAATTCTTAAAGAAAAACAAGGGAAACAAAAGACTGATTGAATAACAAAGACTGATTGAATAAAAAAACGCACTGTGAAATAACAAAATTAGAATAATTGCTGCAGACAAGCCATATTGGCTTTTGTGGCTTGGAATTGTATGTGTTGTAAATTTGTATTTTTTGGAAATAAAATTGAATTGAATTGAATTGATACTCCCATTGAAGAAGCTTTTTTTGACTTTGTACACTAACTATTTGTATCTTCAAGTTCCTGGACTCCTAGATATCCTCAGAGACACAGCTAACTGAATACTTATGTATTACTTTACTATCTCAATCAAACGTCAAGAGCTTATATAACATACTAAAACGCAATTTGTTTCTATTTGACAGCTCACAAATATCACTCGCGTCATGAGTTTCTGTCAGATGTGGAGAGGATTCTACAGAACTGTATCACATACAACGGCAAGGACTCTGCGTTTACAGAGAAGGCAGAAACTCTGTTTAAGGCTGCGCAGGAAACTCTTGAAGAGGTTTGTTGTTACAATGTTACTCTGTTTATTCTCAACTTTGTTCTATTTGTGTTAGTTGGATGCAAAATTTTGTTTTCATTTTAAATACTCATTACATCCTTATTTTTATCCTTATTCAAAATTTGCATTTTCTTATCTACTTAAAAAAGTGTTATAGATTGGAGGGTACAATTTGAATTTTAAAGTTGGGTTGAACATTTTTTTTTGTTCTCTTGCTGTGGGAAAAAATCTTTTTGTGGTATAGCTTGAATACATTTAGAAAACAGGAATAAAATCTTTGATTGTTTCAAACATATACACCCTACTTACATTACCAATATCGGTAGTACTTTAGACTGATGTCTTGTACTAAATAACAACCATATCAATTAAAAAATCAAAACAAAATAATCCATGTGAGAGTACCTGTTTTATGTGTGTTTTAGCTGTTGTTAAACACTCTACTCATACACGACTTGAAATCAGTTGATAAAAACGCAAGCTTTTAATTATATGTTAATTGAAACTAAAACAATATAACATTGGGCACAAGTACCAAGGTGTTAAGGATTTTTTACGAGTTAGTAGACTTACTTAAATGGGATGAATTTCACTTAATCACAATAAAAACAATAAATTGTGCTTTCCTTCCAACGCAAAACCTTTTAGGGTTGAAAATGCTGTATTTGACTGTCAAATATTCCATTTTTTGTGTTTATTATTCCAGGACGGACTTTATCCCATTATGTTTTGGAGCGCGACTGCTGTCCCAAAAGTCAACTGTCACAATGTTTAAGATTTTGTAAAGTTCAGACGTTTCTTTGTACAGTATCAAAGTAGGAAACGCTTTGCAATGCATGAAGCTTGGAAGGAATCTGGTTCAAGCTTATGAGTTTGTTTTGTATTTTCAGTATGACGAACACCTCACTCAGCTGGAACGCAAGATAAGTCTTGTTCAGGAGCGAGCTTTGGAGCAAGCCGAGACTGACTCCCTGGGCAACTGGCACCTGGACGAGGAGATGCAGGAACAGGACCATCATCAGGTATAGGATAAACCTCAGGAAACGTTAAACGTTACAAAATATCAATAATATTAACACTAATACCGAAACCCCACCTAGACTGACGTTAACCGTAACCCCCGGTCTGTGAGACCCCATTTGAAAAATAATGGACCCCGCTTAGAAACACACAAACCGAAACCCTTGGTCTGAGAGACCCCGCTTTAAAATACACTAACGCTGGGCTTCTGAGACGGACATGTTATGAACAGACGACCTGTCAAGGTCACGGCACCCATGCAAAATGAACAAATGATATATCAATAGGTAGGGGAGGAAAAGGGGGGAAGGTATTGGGGGAATGGAATCTACCAGGTAAACAGTGTTGCCAACATGCGTTTTTGAAAATTCCCGTGGGCCTGTCAGACCGGGGTTTCGGTATTAGTGTTAAAAGAGACAAATGGCTAATGGACCAAAAGTTTAATTTTTTAAAAATGAAATTTTTTCCCAGATTGATTTTGTTTTTTTTTAACAAAAGGCATTTAACACGTTCGCTGCTGACAACTCCGATCGGAGTCATGCCGTAATGGCACAGCGTGCGTGCGACTCCAGTCGGAGTAACGGTGCAGTGTTATACAAGTTGGTCTATTGTGAAATAATCTAAAATCACTCTATCATGTTTGTTTTCTACCACAGAGCCAGCCTGGGTCTCCATCTCACTTTGGCAAAGGACAGACTGAGGAGTTTGACTTTGTGGATGTGGAGGGAGACATGGAGGGAGTGGACATCAAGACCAGAGTCAAGAAGGAGCCTGGAGTCTTGGAGGAAGGTAGGAGACCTTTGTAATCTTGGTTTAGTTGTTGAACATGTGCAGAAGTAAATTATTATCAGTTTGATTAATCTATAAGTATAAAAGAGGATGTTTGTATATATATATATATATATATATTAGGGGTCTGCGGGTCAGACTTTTTTGGTTCGGGTCGGGTCGGGTCGGGCCGATAATTTTGGTCCTCGGGTTTCGGGCCAAAATCGGGTCGGGCCAAAAATTATTAATTACCGGATTTTTTATATTTTTTTAACTCCTATCTGTGTTTTTAATATTACTTGAAAATAACATATGGGAAAAAAATGTATTTATGTATATTATTTCATGTTCATAACTTATTTACAGCTTAGAAGTTGCCTCAACTGCAAGAAAGAAGAAAATAATTTTTTTATCAAGCCATTCTTTCCCATTTTCATAACTGTTGAAATATCTAAACAGCTATATTACAACAAGTTTGTAATGGAACTTAATATAAAAGGATCATAAACAAATCAATTAACCTTATCACAAGTTTAGGGCCTGTGGACTGGCTTCAAGACTGCAAGCAAGAAGAAAATAAAAATTCTATGTTTCCACCATGCAATATGAATCATTCATTCCCTGCCTCCTAACCTCCTAAGTACAAAAACCTCACACTTACAATAGCATTATTAGTTACATCATCATAAATAAAGAATTATCTATTATTGGCATTAGTAGGCCTACAGCTTTACATAGGAATTATTTTTTATAGGGCCTAAAATAGTAATAGACTAAGCAACATGACAAGTGGAGAACTCATTGAAGAAAAGATATTGTGTAAACTAATTTACTATAAAACTCTAAAACAGTAAAAATAGCACACATACATTGTTTATGGTATAGTTATAGTAAAGACTGTAAAAATTGCATATCATGTCATAGGTACACAGTTATAGATACACAGTTATAGGCACAGTTATAGGTATTGCAAGAGATCCTAAAACAACTGATTTTAGCTAATAAATGAAAAGAATTAAAAATCCATAAACTCAAGTCAAACAATATCACAATTATTAGGTAGGTACCCAAAAAGGAACTCTTAATATATAGAAAATTATATTAAATCAAGAGAAAAGAAAGTTAAATGCTAATTTGGCAACATAAGCAGACAGCAGAGACATTATAGTGCCCTAATTAGCAACACAACTCAATGTTTTTATACTGTAAGTCAATGTTTTTTAAACGTAGGGTCTTTTTCTCGGAAGGAAGGGTAGTAGAATGTAAACAAAAAACCATGAATCACTCTCACAGCCGGGCCCGGGGACACTCAAGGTTACAGACCCTCCCCCTCCCCTCCCCTCCCATCTTACACAACCCGAGCCAGGCCCGGGGACACTCAAGGTCATAGACCCTCCCCCTCCCCCACCCCTATTACACAACCTGGTTGTTCCAATCAACGATATAAACAACTCATGGATCGCTGGCTCAGTGTTGGCCGCGCGGTCGAGCTTCCCCCACCACCTACTGGCAGAAGCCAACGCAGCCCATACATTCACCATTATAAAACACACTTTTTATTTGCTGCACTGTTGAAATTTATAGGGATAAAATATTGCTAACGCTTGTCAAACTCTTTTTACTAGTTAAACCTTTTATGTCTGTTTTGTTTCTTGCAGAAAATAACCCATTTGAATTCTTTAAAACTACAAATTCACTAAACCCGTTTTGTAGAGTTTTTTAGACAACTGATATTGCTAGTTCCAAATTGTACATGGTAAAATAATAAGTGATTACAAAGGAGAAATATAAAGTACAATATTTGTGTTTGAAATTCTATTTTATTAATCGAAAAACTATTACATAAACATTTAGAATAATTTTGCTAAGTTTTTGCCGCAGTGGTAACGTAAATGTTTGACGTAAACGCGATATTTTTTTCTTTCAATGTTTAATGACAATGTATCTTACAAAATAGGTCATAAAAAAGTATGCCTATCACGTTAATGTCAAGCATAGATTTGCGGTAAAAACTGGACAAATGTAGTAGGGTTTTTAAGAGTTCAAATGTGTTATTTTTTGCACGAAAAGAAGAAGACATAAAGTTTAGAATAGTAAAAGTTTTTGGCATGTATTAGCAATATTTTATATCTACATATTTAAACAGAGCAGCAACTTAAAAAGGCGCGTTTTACAATGGTGAGTGTATGGGCTGCGTCGGCTACTGCCAGTAGATGGTGGGGGGATCTAGACCGAAAACAGCCCCCGCAGTGCTACTGAGAGCGCAATCCAGTAGTTTTTACATCGTTGGTTCCAATTGCTGACAAAATGCAAGTAACGAAACAAGGAAGTAGAGACAAAAAGATATATTTTCTTTATTCAAAATATAAAACTGTTACAGATAATTTATAAAGAAATTAATTCATGGTAGTTTGTGTCTTGTAAATATTGTATTGGATCTTAGAAATATCTTTTTTGAAACTCTATCTAACCTAAGAAAAAAATAATTTTACTGATGAAAACTTTCATAAAATAAAATTATAAAATATTTAGGCCTAACCTCTTTGTAGACTTGCTGATACTTGATACTTAAAAAAAAAGAAATGAAATAGTGACCATACAATGCCTAACCAGACGATCAGAAGTGTTGTTTTGTTTTGTTACTGAATGACAAAAAGGACAATAGGAAAATAAAAGAACAAGATACAGATCTGTACACTATATCAGATATTTCTTTTGTTTATAATTTATTATGTAAATAAAATACTAAAATATATTTTAAACTAGGTATGGAATAAACAATAAATAATTAAAATGGGACCTCTGGATAAATAGTCTTTCTTTTGACTTCGTTTTCTTTGCACTGTTGAGTCACGGCTTTTGTTTTGTCAGTAGACGACTGGCTCTGGCTAGTGACAGTAAGGCAATTGCTCTGTTGTGTCTTTGTTCTTAAACGTGAGCAAACTAAACTTAATATTTAATTCTAATTTTAACATTTTAATTCCTCTGTAATAATATATATAAGAGTGTTTCTTTGAAAATTACTTATTATAACTTTGAAAATAATAATAATTTTTTTTGGCCCGACCCGATCTTGGCCCGAACAAATCTCTGACCCGACCCGGTCTCTCGGGCCTTCCACTGGCCCGACCCGACCCGAAAAAATCGGGGACCCGCAGACCCCTAATATATATATATTTGTTTGGCAGTGATAAACTCAGACACCGCTGAACCGATTGCCACGAAACTCGGTACATACGTGTAGAATTTCATGGAATAGGTTTATACACCATCAATTTCCTGATCCGTCCAATCGGCTCCGCCCCAGTGGCTCTGGAGTTTCCCATGTTAACCTTATGAGAAATGGAATTAATGAATCTTAACAGCTGTTTCAATTAAACAAGTTGGTTCTGTTCTATGATGTTCAATAGCATTAAAGTTACAAGGATTACCAACAGGGTGCAGCACTATTATTTCTTTTACATTTATGACAAAAGCTAATTTGCAACCAAAAGATGAGTGAGCGTAGCGAACAAACTTCAACCAGGACGTGATTGAGCCATGCGAACGAGATCATCTTGAAAATTAAGAAGTTAAACGGGGCAAAGCCCGCGGGTTACAGCTAGTAATCTCTTAAAATTATTAGTTTTAAAAAGGTGATTGGATTCAATATCTTTAAAATTAGCTTAAACAGACTATGGGATAGTTTTTAGTGTTATTTGAAACTGATTTATCCTAATTTATGAACATATAACATGAAATCCACAAAAAAATCAATCGGATGAGTTCAAAAACAAATAATATTTTACTATATTTTAGGTTCTGTAAGTCTAACTGTTATCACTTTGGATTGAGTCGTAATGTTGACTTTCAGGTATCGGACCAAAATTAGGTTGCTTTTTGTGCTTTATTGTTATTCTGTAATCGGGTTATAGGATATTGTTCAATATCTGAGGCGGTTGCGGTGAATTGTGAACAAGTCTTAAACTGCAGCAATATTGTAAAACATCTCCTGTGATCGCAGCAAAATCATGAAAGTCTCCTACGATCCAAGTGAAATCGTAAACATCTGCCGTCACAGGAAAATTCTTAACATCTTCTGTGGTCACAGTGAAATCGTGAAGATCTCCTTCAGTATTGACAAAATTGTGGATTCTCCTACAATCACAGAAAAGTGTTTAACATCTTCAATGACTGCAGAATAATGGTGATAATTTTCAGTGGTCTCGGATGAATTGTGAATGTCTCCTATGGTGACGGAAAATTCTCAAAGTCTATTGGGATTGCTAGAAATGTTAACCAATTTTGTGGTTTATAACACAAGAGGGTAATCTCTTGTTGTAATGTTGCAGACCTGCAGTTCTCCAGTGAGGACGAGTTAGAGGAGGTGGGGGAAGGTGGAGAAGTGACGGACCCTCACTTGGATGACGACAGTCAACAAGCTGCTGAGGCTATGATGCAACTAGGGAACATTTCATATTGCGTACCACAGGACCAAGGTAATCATCTTTTACCTACAACTGTTTTTTAAAGAAGCTATTTCAGTTCAGTTCTTAGAATTGAAAAGTTTCTCATAACAGCATTGTTTACTTTCATAACAGTATAGTTTTACTCATAACAACACGGGTAACGGACCAATGAGGTTGAAGGATTGAGAAAGAAGTAAAATTGTAATGATTCAAACTTCAACTAATCAGCTGTTCAGGCCATTTTAATTGTTGAGTGGTGCAATAAGTGTTTGGTTCAATGTTCAATGTGCATCAAACAAAATTTCTAAATTTCTACTAGTGCGTTAACAATATCTTTACACAATCGTTGCGTAAACTACTATAGAAAACTATCATGTTCCTTATACTTTAACGTTTACTGCAGCACTTTGTCTAGTTATTGCAACAAGCACTATGTACCTATGCATTTCTTGTTTGATGACTAATTTTTACGCAACATAGCAAATATGGGTCTGCCCCGGTCTTAAGGTTTATCCCTGCACAGCTGTATGTAGCAAAACAAAAATAAAGATTGGTTTGAACATGCCCTACTTGTGCCAAACCATATTTTTGAATAAAATTTTGAGGACAGCTTCAGCTGGATGAAGAATACAATAATTTTTTAACAAAGCCATACTTAAACGTCTAAAAATTAAAACTTATGGCCAAGATTGCCCACAAAACTTTAAATCCAATAATATTGTTGTAAACCTAATTCTTTGTGCTTGGTTGGCCAGTTGTACCATTGATATTAATTAATAGAGCAGAGTTTGTTCAACATCAGCTATCTCTGTCACTCAATCGGGCAGTTCACTTGGCCTTCATTCTCCGTGTATTAGCTTGGCAGCTTCTTTCCACTAACTCAGAATGTTGTTAGTTTATAGCTGCTCATAAGGTACTACCTTTGACTATTAATAACACAACTTCTGTATCCAATAGTCAATGGTACTACACAGATGACATATTACAAATTTTTGTTACAAACTCATATTATTATCAGAGCTGCTTACCTTTTGAGTGTTCGGCAAGGAGAATGATGAGAAATTTATCCAAGCTGCTATCCAATTTACCATGGACAGTACAGCTAGCCACCCATCCAATTGTAATAATCTAAAATAAATCTTTCTGATCAAATGAGTTTTAATATTTTTTAAGTCTATTATCTAACTGCACCGTTAATCCATAGATGAAAGCATGGATGTGGATCCGAATTACGATCCATCGGATTTCCTGATGCACGGTTTACCTGGCCGAGAGAACAAACCTCACACTAGCGAGAAGATTCACGACGACCTGGCAGTGAGCGAGTCGGATGACGAACATCAGAAGGAGAACAACGACAACGTAGTGGAGAACATCAAAGTAGAAGATAACGACGTGGACGCTGGTGTTCTTTGGTTTTAAACTCTGAGCTGTCACAAAATCATTCGATAAAGTGAAATATGTTTATATTGTACATAGAACAGTAAAATATATTTTAATTTGTAATTTTTGTATAGCAATCTTAGTTTTGTATTTGTTTTAATTCTATCATGCAGGAATGGTAGTGTAAATATTTTTCTTTTATCTATGTCTCTTTGCGTTTATAGTATAAGGAAGACAAGTATTTTATGTTTTATCAAAATCCTTTTTTCATAATATAAAAGATAATTCATTGAAACCTAGATACAGGATCAAAGTTCTGAATTTGCAGATATGTCACAACTGTATAATATATTTTTACTTTTAAAACAATATTGTCTATTTTTTGTCCAAATTATATAACGTGAAATAAAAAAATACAAGCTGTTGGCCCGTCCTACATACGGAAATCGAGTAGTCCATTAAAACTATAGTTTGTCTATTACTAATTCAAGCATAGTTTAAGCAGTTCAAAATTTATAATAAAGAAAAAGCTTCCAAGATTAATTAAAACATGTGATCATTGTTATTTTCCCAAACTTTTCTCCAAAAGTCGAGTAGTAAAATAATTTTCATAAGCTTTCTTTTGAAGATTCGCGAGCTTTGATTCCTATACAGCAATGGTTATAGAATCTTACTTATTTCCTATAATCATTGACAAAATCACAGAGTAAATTAACTAACCTCATAGTTATATAGAATATTTTTTATTGAACCAGCTGTTAGTTATAACAAATAATATTTCATTAAAACAAACTAAATATTTTAAAGACTACTCAAAATAATAAATTAGTAAATCTAGTATTTTACTATGTATATTTAAATAAACTCTCATCCTCTTACCGATTAAATTAACGTATCAATTATTATAGCATTACACATAGTATAAATAAGTCAATTCTATGTATGTAATTTCATTTTTATCCAAAAGCTGAATTTGTGTCGAAAATGCTGAATGTTTACAGCTGTTACATTAAGCAAATGGTACTACAGTAGACTCTCGCTCATCCGGACTAATGTGGCGGACGTCCGGTCCGGATTACGAAAAATCCGGACTATCGAGAGTCGAGCAAATACACAGTACTGTATATAGCCGTTTTTTCAATTTAGTTCCAGGTCCACAGTAATGATAACCAGGAATATGCACTTCCACCTTTACGGCCGAATTTGTTCCAGGTCCACAGTAATGATAGCCCGGGCATATGCACTTCCACCGGTCATAATTTTTACCACCGTGTTATCCGATTTTTTTCATTATTTGAGGTAGTCTAGGTCCCGTTTTGCTCGGATAATCGGACTTCTACTGTACTGTGCCGCTAAAAAAAATCATGATTGCCGATCCGGACTACCGGGAGTCCGGACAAGGTTGATCCGGATGAGCGAGAGTCTACTGTATAGGCCTACCAAAAGCTAAAGTAGAACGTTAGCGTCGGCTGCTGGACTTTTTAAAATATTTAACTTAATTTCTTAGAAACTGAAACCCCAAACTAAAATTATGGCTTCGACATTCCCTAGCTCTCAAAACTATCTTTCTTTCACCACAAAAATCATGTAAATCCGTCAAGTGGTTGATTCATAATCGTGAAATAAAAAAAACCCTGTTACGGTTTAATATGTATGATATTTAAATATCACTGTGGATTTGTTCAAGGGAATTGTACACTAAACATTAAACATTAGGTTGTTTTAGGTCCCATGTGTTGGAAATTGTGATCACTGTTTGTCAGGGTGAACTTTTCAACAATATGGGTTTTTTGTTTTTTTCAGGACGGGAGTCTTGTGTGAGATTGATTGAGATGATCATGACGTTGCTGATATTCTGGTGCTAACAATTTTAAATCTAATTAACAAGGTTTACAATGGATTCCAATTACAGTATATTAAATAATAGTGAGTATTGATTTTAAGTAGAGATTTGTTTTTAATTTTTGTTTGTTTTGACTGCTTTGAGTTTTGTAATTTCAGATATAAGATCAAAAAATTTCTCTTTGACCACCAATACTCTTTTTATTTTACAGAGTTAGAAGAGAATAATTAAGTATGAGTCAATTTTATACTTTTATTCCAGTAAAAATTTCACTATAGTAACTCTGTGCCATAATAAAACAAAACGAAGTAGATACAATATGTAACCAAAATTGTACACTCGTCAATATAAAAAGTGTTACTACAATTTTGAAATTTCCTTCATTACAATATGATGTAAAAATCACCCCATAGACTATTAGCATGGAAGGTTAAGCGTAACCAGCCAGTGCGGTAGAAGAAGGATAGTGAGCTCTGGTGACTTGGCAGCGATCTTTGTCAATATACAGGGTGTTACGTTTGATTTGTATCTCTCGCTCAAGATGTCCTCGTGTAGTGTAGAGTCTTACTAGAGCATCTTCGGCTTCCTTCAGTCTCGCCTGGAGACAGCTCACCTGATCTGCTATAGTCTTCACTTCCTCCACCAACCTACACAGATGGTAGCATTAGAAGATCGTCAGTTTGATTCTGAGAAAAGTCGCGAGCTTGATCTTTGGCTTAAACACCAGCTGATCCCAGACAGTAAAAAACCTGTCAGCTAATTCATACAACACTCTTCTTTGACCTCTAGTGTGCCGGCATCGTAGATATTTAATTTAATCAGTACTAAATAAATTGACCATGTTATCTGTAGCCTACTGACTGTAAAGGAAAATCCATACTCATCCTTAAGAAAAGTAGGTTCCATCTGATCCTAGAGATAACTCAATAATGTCCACTTGCCTCAAGTAAATTCCACCTCAGTAAAGAGTATCCCCAAGTATGAGTGCTCAAAGATATTTAACAATATTTTGAATGAAATTTAGAATACTGAGTACCAAAAAAGGATTATTATGTACACAAATAGGGATCAGCTAGCTTACCTGGTAGACAGAGTCCAGATTAGCTTTGGTAACACACACATAACACATAACTCAAAACAGTAAAACTTAAACTAAAAATTTTTGGTGACTGTTAGGGACTTCATCAGAAGGGAGAAGAAAGAAGACTGGCAGTTAATGTTCAAATTTAAGGTCCACATCAGTGCTGCCAACTGTAGTTTAAATTGAAATAAAAATTCCTGTTACCATGTCCATCTTTTTTATTAGTTACAGGAATTTTTATTTCAATTTAAACTACAGTTGGCAGCACTGTGGAACTTTTAAATCTGAACTTTAACTGCCAGTCTTCTTTCTTCTCCATTCTGATGAAGTCCCTAACAGGGACAAAATATTAAGTTTTACTGTTTAGTGTGTGTTACCAGAAGCTAATCGGTAAGCTAGCTGGTTCCTATCCTTGTACATAATAACCCTAATCAGCTAATTGGCTTTTCCTTAATTCCTGAATACCAAAAAAGTTAAGGACAATATTTAAGAAACAGTTATTGAGTTATTACTAGTCACTAGTAGAGTACTTTGAGGACGAGTAAATATAGGAGTTTTCAATGGAAGATTATCGAGTAAATACATAATAACGTACCCAAACTGAGGTTTGTCACGACAATTCTCGATGCGAGGTCGATGCAGCCGATTGTCCAATCTAGTCTGGGCCTTCTTCATCGGAGCGTCCATTGCCCGTATGGCCGCCTTCAACTCTCCAATCAACTTTTCAGTCTCTGCTATTCTTCGCACAACCTACGAATTGTGAATTTAGTTTTATATCCTCTCTGTTCTCAGATGGTACGACACAGATGTACACTTAGGAAAGAAGAGTTGGCTTTTTAATTGCTAATCGAAAAGTGATGATGATTTAATCATTCAAGGATAATATTTTCACTTTTTTAAATTTCATATTGTTTTGGTACTTGCTGTGAGGACAGTTTTGCGGGGCCACATAAATGGTCAGAAATAAAGATAGTGATACAGTGACCATTACATACTACATTACAGTGTAATGTAGTAGGTGACTCGGTAGTATATGGTGACGAGGAGTTGAGATCACACAAAAAGACTGTTATTTGCACTGGTAATAAGACTGCTTTACCCATAAACAACATCAAAACACAACAAACATGTCTTAAGTCAAGACAACTATCGTGTTAAATAAACCCTAAGAACATGATGAAATGTTACTATACCACCGCAAGTTCATTCTCCAGCGCCTGTCTGCAGAGATCAGTCTCGCGCACACGTCGTGCAAGAGCCTGCTCCACGCGGTCAGCTTGCGCGCGCAGATCTCTCACACAGTCGCTCAGGATCGGTCCGTCCAGCAGTGCTCGCAACTCGCAAGACTGTCCTTTCACCTCCTGCGCTGTCTGTAAGATGTCCTTCACATTGTCTTCCCAACCTGCCGGTGTAGACTGGCTGCAACACGTTTGAACAAGTTCAATCTCATGAAAATCAGAGAACTTGCACCGTTATTCCATTCAAGCTACGTTTCTGTTTTGCAGATGGAATATTTGTATCTTACTAAGAGAAAACATGAAAAACCTGCACCAACCTCATTCATTGGACAGCACACTGGCCTTCCATGGTTTGCAAATTTGGGTTTGAGACAACACTTAAGCTTACATTCAGTGTCTACAATTATAATGCAATATAGGAAATTATATTTTGTATTTTCTTAGGGGTATTGGGTATGTATGTGGTTGTTTTGTCCAATTAGTTTCGGTTTTGCACGGAAAAAACTTTTTGTGAGCCTGTTATGTAAATTATTGTTTAGGTTGTTAGGATGAACATATAGTGAATAAAAAGTGGTTTTTAAGTTCATCTAAAACTTTTAATGTGAAGATTAACTCGCAAAAACAAAGAAGCTTCTATACTTAATAAACACAGGTAGGCCTATCCTACACAAAATCATTAGTTACTAATTAATGATTACTTAACAATTTATTGAGGATCTTAAACACCTTTCTGGAAAGCGTGTGGCCCCAGGTTTGAAGAGAATAGTCCTAGATTTGATGGTGAGGTTGGTGTTGATTGCTGCAATCTGGTAAGTTTGCTTCTTGTCCGACCAATCGTCTTCCATCCGAGCTTTGATTGCTTTGTTTCTTGCTTGCTGTTCCTCTATCTGGATGAGTGTTCTATCGATCAAATCTTCAACTTCTTTCACCAATGCTGCTTCCTATCAATTGAGTAAACCAATAAGACTGAGTGTTAAATATTTACTTTGTATTTTCGGGTCTAATTTAATATTTAAGTTTTATTAAAAAGGCAATTTTGTTTAAATGAGGAAAGGGCTTAAGTCCCAAGGTGCATCAAATGCATATTTTGGATTGCTACACAACATCCGGATATGTTGGATTTCTATGCTATGCACCATACAAAGTTTATGTAATAGGCTGAAATTCGAGCAACAGGTTGACTTCTTCAAAGGAAACTCCTACGTACCTTGATCAATTCTTCCTCAGCTTCA